CACACACACACACACACACACACACACACACACACACACACACACACACACACACACACATACAGTATTCCCAAGTAGGTCTCCTAAAGTAAAAAAAAATGGTTGCATGTATGCAAGTGGGGAGGGGGAAGTTGAGTCAACCACAGATGGACAGACAGATTTGTGCACACAAACTTTAATGTACACACAAATGGGCACATCAAGACAGACCATGTTCTTCATTATTCATACGTGATGCCTCTGTTTTAAGCAGAGCTTTTATTCCAGACGAGCAGCATTTCACACATTAAGTGTCTTACAAAATAAAGTGTGATGCGTTTTTATAAGTGCGTGTGTCTCTGTGTCTCTCGTTGTGCACATGCTCTTAGAGCAGTGATGCTGGAGGTTAAGTGGCTGTAGGAAGAACAACTCCTTTCACTCAAAAGACCCTCACACACTCCCTCCTGTGACATCATCCCTTCAATTTAATTTACTTGGCACCTCTGAGGCAGTTGGTTTAAAAGAAAAAAAGATGGTGATTATCTCCGCTAGTCGCTTTACAAAACAAAATGAGGTTAGGGTTTGCAGAAAACACACTCAAGAGATGATGTAGGGGGTCTCTGTTATTATGCCTTGTAAGGAAATTAGTCTTGTGCCTGTCTGAACCTTTTTATGGGTGAAGCCACACTGGTTGGCGAATTGCCTTTACTTTTCTATTACCTTTCTCATCTCCCTCTGTCCATGCCCCTCATTTCCTCAACTTCTCTCTTCTTTTTAATTTCCTCTCCTCTCCTTCTCTCAGGGTATATGGAGCTGTATCCATGGTGTTCATATAGATATGAAGAAGAAAACGCCTGAGCTAGACTTCAGTCCTCAAGCCAACATGCTGCACTTGCTTAAGTCTGCCAAATCAATCGCTATGTCTTCGCCCAAACGCAACACTGTCCTCCTACAACCGAGCATCCTAGACATGATGTCAGGAAAAGGTATTGTAGGACTTTTATAAATGGTGAAAAACACTCTCAATGTTTAAACAATTTAAATCAAATGCTCTCTCTTCTAGCATTAGACAAACAAGATGTCAATGTGAGCATGTGCAAAAGTGACACCCTTATCCTTGTGGTGTCCACAATGTAATCAGATCAGCCGGATCGGATGTTATCAGTCCATTAAATGGACATTATTAGYGGTTATCAGTCCCATAGAAGGGSTTCAGACTGTCCCGACAGTGCTCCTTAGTGGGTTACCAGTGCCATTTATGTGGAATGCAACAATCTGTTACCACCGGAGTCTAGTCTACTTCATCGTTACCCGTGTCATTTTCTCTAAAATTAACCTTAGTGGCTTTCTGCCTCATATTAACAAGCTGACAGTCTGAAGCCATTCTATGGGACAGAGAACCCACTAGGCGGCACAGTCGGGACAGTCTGAAGCCATTCTATGGGACTGATAACGGCTAATAATGTCCATTCAATGGATGATAACATCCAAAGCGGGTGTCTCAGATTGACCGTGGAGCACACACATGCCTTGTGACTGACAAAGCACAAGAAGGCACATTATGCATGCTAAAGCAATAGATAATCTATTAGCTAGCTGGCCAGGCAGCTTTCCAAACATCCATCTATTGTATCTGTTGTCTGAGGAGTGTGTCTTCTTGTCTCCTAGGTAACTCACTCCATAGTCTGCCTCAGAAGGGTCCTGGTCTCTATAGCAACGCTGCAGGTCCACAGGGATTCCTGTCATTGTCCGGGAGACATAAAAACCACCTTAATAACGCTGCACCATTTCCCGGACAACCGAAAGGCCCCACTCACCAGACCAGTCCCAACAAACCTCAGCTGTCAATCACTAATGACAATGGCCAGAACCGCCTTCCAGGGCCAGCCATCACTGCATCAAAGCCACGAGCCCTGTGGAAGAAAAGCGTAGAGACACTGAAGACTCAACCAAGTGTCGTTTCTCCGGGCCAGAGCCCCACCCCTGCTTCAGGGAGCAGCGGACCTCCAGCTATGAAGAGCCAGCGCTACCTGCCTGAAGATCCTCAGCACTCCGACATGTCCGAGTGTTCGAGTCGACCACCTTCACACAAAGATTCGGACTCCATGGCCGTGAGGGGCGGGTTCAAGCCGATCAATCAGCTGAGGAAGAGGGGTGGAGGTGGTGGTGGAGGCGGAGGAGCCAAGATTTACTCCATTGACTCTGACCAGGCAAGTCTGCAGTCAGTTCCTCCATACCAGAGAGACAGCCAGGGGGGAGGTGATGACCGTAGTTACCCCCCTGACCTCTTTCCACCTGACAGCACTTACTTACACCAGTCGGATGCGCCGATCATGCAGCTGAGCGCCAGCCTACTGCACCACAGCCACAGCGCAGAGGCTGACCTGCACTCCCTGAAGGACAAGAAATACAGTACCTACACTCACAGCAGGTAGGGTTTCCCCAAAACACAACACTAAAGCATGACTCACATGCATAAAATGTCTTTATTTTTATGATGAGGGTTGTTTTTGTTCTTTTCTTGCTCAGTGTAAAGGACAAGCCTGGGGGTTCATTTGATGCTCCAGCTGGGGGTTCGGGGACACAAGGCACCAGGCCAGGTCATTGTCGTACCTGCCTAACCAAGCTCAGTGGTTACTCTGGCCTGTACACTGTTCGTTCGCCGCAAACTCGCTGTGATGCTTGTGCCCACCTTGGAAACCTGTACGACATCAGCGAGGACCACCTTCACTCGCACTACTCCCATACTCACCCGCACAGTGGGGACATGTTTACTCACTACCATCCCCAGAGTGAGCTGGGCCTGGTGGGCGAAGGAGACGGACTTGTCAGCCACTTCGAGCCCACCCCCTCCTCACCGTCGCCCATCCCCACCTCCTCGTCCGCCCAGCATCTCCAGCTGAGTCGTCAGCACTCCTATGAGAACATGCTTCCAGATGGCGTTCCGGAGCGGCAGCCGCAACCTCACGYCCACATGAGAGGACTGAGCTTGCCTGACAGGGACCGGGACAGGGAACTGACCCTGGACGATGGGGCTTATGCCAACGTTCTCACTATGCGCTCCGATCGTCCATACAGCAGCCGCAGCCCACCCTCTCCGTCCCCCTCCCACCACCACAGTCTGGACATCCCCATGCCTGTGCCCCGGCGCTCAAAAAGCCTTCTGCCTGATCGTCCGTCACACAACCCTTTCCTGCAGTCGGCCCCCGGCACAGCACAACGAGACCCCGCCTCCCAGGCTGCCACTCGCCTGCCGCAGAGGAGTTCCACCCACGACATCTACAAGCAGAGGATGCCTATGACGCTCACACTTGGTAACCATGGCAGTCATCACATCAACCAGCACRGCGGCCATGTCGACCAACAGGTGTTCTACTCTCAGCAGGAGCCTCCTGTGGTAGCCTACATGGTTCCACCTGCAGCTTCTCAGCCAATGAGCTATGTGACAGCACCTCGAGCCTCGAGCGCAGGTGGCAACCGACCCCGGCTTTACCGCCGCATGCCCAGCATTGAGTCGGATGTCTGAGAGACAACAACAACACACTTCATCTCACGGAGACACGCTAACACACGAGCATGCAAGGAAAGGGTGTGTGTTACTGGACCAGGCAGTCTCTGATTCTAAGCACATACTGGAAAACACACACAGAGACACACACAGACACACACACACACACACACACACACACACACACACACAAGTGAAAGACAGAAAGGTCAGCACTAGACTAAAAGATAAACAATGATGCTGAATAAATACATCATTGTTTCTTTATTAAACCCTCTTTAAGGAAGCGAAGCGGGCCACAGGGACACCTGGAGGCACAATACGAGACAAGTGTGTGTGAGTGTCAGTGTGTGTACTAGCCCCAAGCTGTGGGCAACAGGGCACAAACTGACAACGTGTCTGACGAGGCAGATGGAAGTCCTGGTGGAATAAGAGGGGACACTGTACTTGGAGTCTAACGCTAACAGTGGGATCTAAAGGCGACTGTGTTCGAAAGACCAGCCAACCTGTCCCGCCATCTCGTCAGCCTCTTGGAGATAAAGTGGTCACTGAAAATCTATTTCTTTCTGAGATCACACATTCACACACACACTCGAGTCCCCTAAACCACCCCCTTTACTTCACCCCATCTCCAGGAGTCTCCTGTTGCACTATGATTTCTCCAGTCAACCCATAATGTTGTCTGAGCCTCCTAACTGCACTGCCGGCATGGCTTAAAGAGTAGTCAACGACACTAAAATAATCCTCGACTTGAATGGAAATTGCTATCCAAGTAAGACTAGACTGGAAGGCAGGAGTCAGGAAACACATCTAAGTAGTCTGTGAGCTCCTGCCTTGAGATGTACAAACACTTGAACACACACGAACACAATAAAAAAAAAAAAAACAGATGCTATGTCTGTTTTCAAGGGAAAGTTAAAACTTTAGACTGTTTGCTATTGTTGATGTTAGCTAAATGAACATTCCAAAAAAGAAAAAAAGAAAAAAAAACAATGGTGGACCAAACCTGGCCACCAGTCAAAGCCTCTCAGGATGAGAGTGTGTGTTCTAGTGTTTCTAGATCTAAAGACAATACAGTACAGCATCTTTGCTTCCTCTCTTAGCTAACCTTCAGGTCTTACTGCATGCTTCCTACTGCCCTGTGTTACAGTTAAACTCCAATACAGGGTCATATATGCACACATTTACACCCGCACAAACAACACATGCACATACACGTACACACACGCTCATACGCAGTAGTCTAGGATCATAGATTAGAGTGGGTGGGTGTGTGAAGCTATCAGATAGCTTCTCTCTGTGCACTTTGTAGATTTTGTACCCCCGCCACCCACACAGACGTTTGACCAAAAACACTTTTGTATTGAAAGATATGARTATTCTCAATCACTCGCTGGATAGATGTTTTTCCTTACTTTTTATTTTTTATTTTATTTCTCTTTACCGTTGGGTTTTAGAGCATTTCTAAAGGGCGCCGCTCTTTCAGTTTTCCAGAAGCAGGAGTTTTAYGGTATCATGCAAACAGTACACACAACACAGACTCTTAATGTTTCTCTCCTCTTTTTTCTATTATTCTTAACTTTTCTTATCTCTCCTTCTAACCTTTCCTCCTTCTCTCATCAGATCATTTTTGTTTATTCTCTCGATAGCTTCCTCTTGCTCTTTTCCTGCTTCCTACTGTAGAGTAGCTAAAATATCAAAAGAGTAAAGTTCAGTCTTGGTGTTTTAAAAAAAACTCCACATGTTGCTGAAAATCACGTAATATCAGTAGTTGTGAGGATTCATCCAATTTAACGCCGTCTTTTATAGGAGACAGTGTTGTTTCTAATAACTTTCTATGTAATACAAAAAAAATAAATAAATTTGAGGCCTGTTTGATGTTTTTTCGTGGTGAATTTTCAGACATGAGTGTATCGCTGGAGCAGTTTTGACTCATCAAATAAATACTCCTAGACTAGCGTCCCAAATGAGCGGCGGTGATGGCGGCTCTTTCTGTTGGCGAGAAACACGACGCTGCATTTTGACGGAGTGGGGCGCATGGCAAAGTGGAGTTTGTAAAGTGACTCGTTACAGAGGCAGCACACACACGTGCGAGCTCGCACTCGACAAGCTGGCAAAGTGTGTATGAGTGTTTTAGAAATCCATAATCTACTGAGTAAGGGCATTGATTTTTCAGCACAAGGATTTTGATGGAAACTGGACTTGATATCCCATTAGCTGAGTGTCTGTCTCTATTCTCTCTTTTGCTACTCTCTTTTTTCTCTCTCGCACATGAACAAACACACCCACTTATATACAGTACATTAGCCACAAAGAATGCAAGACAGTCTGAATCAAAAACAGAAGAAAAGAAAATGCACCTTTAAACGGTGAGCGCTGCCCCTCTTTTTGATAATCTTAACAGGTTTGTTGTGTGAGTTATATGCACAATATCAGGTTGCAATATTATACTTCTGTACAGAAAAATCTTTGTTTTAAATGTTAGAAATTGAGTTCTTTTTGTTTGATTTGAATGGTATTAAGTATTAATCTCATTTCAAATACAACGTGGCTTTTTTAAAATTCTGCTTCTGACAAAAAGAAAAAAAGAAAAAAAAAAGAAAAAGGCATGTTTTAGATTTTTCTGTGATTTTATTTCCCTGGAGTGTTGCTGGTTGGGACTACACTGTACAGTCGTCACTACTGGGTTAACTCCTAGTTAACTATGTGGGGTCAGCTAACCTGTTAACTCAACACACATCGCTGGGTCTTTCATCTGAATCCCACTCAATGACTGTCCAGCCTGTGTGGTTGAAACAAAAACCCCATCCCACCCACAGTGTTCTCCTCCACAGCTAGTCTGAGTTTTTCCATGTTGGAGTGTGAGTGTGTGTGCATGTGTGTGTTTAGTGTGCTTGTCTGTGTGTGTGGGTGTGTTTTACACTGTGCAGGCATTTGTATAAAACAGAGAATGTGTGTATTTAGAGGTTGTGTGTGTGTGGGTGCGTGTCCTATTTGGTATACTCTCTTTCGTCCCACACGCAACATTTGACCTTGCTGTTACCCATATTACAGTTACACACACACACACAAACATGCGTGTGTATGTCCTGGTTATGAGAGCATGTAGAGGTTTTGTATGTCCACCCTCACACATATTTTTACACCACCTTTTTTGTTATTTATTTGTTTGTTTTCTTGATTTCATTTTAATTGCATGATGTACTACTTGTGTTTCTGGTGGTACCTATTTTGCTGCAACACATTTTTTGTTTTATTTTGTTTTTTACCCTGAGATGGACCTTCTGAGCTACATGTACCAACATGTACCCCCTCCACCCTGACTGTACCAACTTCAATCATTGTGGCTCCTGGCCGTGATGTGAGCGGCGCGGCACATGACTGGCTCTCGCACAATGCCAGCCGCCGTCGAGAAATATGTTCAAATATGGTTCCAGAAAGTCGAGATTTTTAGATTGGCCTCACTGTTCGTGTGTACAGTATTGAGTAGAAGGGGTATGTTGGTGTGTAGTCCTGTGGGTCTCCCTGCTGTGTATCAAACTTGTGTATAAGTTCAGGGGTTTCAAAGCTATAGTTGTGTTGTAAATACTACCTTATCACTCAGTACCTCTGTACAATCTGTAAATAAGTAAAGGTTACATTTTTCTAATGCCTGAGTCTTGTAGTTGATCTGTCTATCTGCCTATTTGTTTATCCAAGCTAGCCACATAAATAGATAGCTATTGGGGTGCTCCATTTGTTCTCAGAAGTTGGATTTTTTGAGTTTCAAGATTGAAAGATAACTGAAAGCCAAAGACCCCCTGAACAGCCTCAAAATCCAACATGGCTGTCTCACTTGTGATAAGCTGTGAAAGCTGCAGCATTTAACCTTTTATTTGTTGGTATTCATCTCAGTCACACACATAGTGCTGTTTATGCTCTGAGTATGTTGCTGCAGTGTTTACATATATAGAAAGCAGAGAAATACACTGTTATTGGTATTAACCCAATGTTTTTCAGACTTGCAATCTGAACAAAAGTCAGTTCTGACGTCACTCCCAGATTAAAGTTACAACGTCCGAGGTAATTTTTGGGCAGGAATTTCTATTTCGCTAGCTAGCCATTAGTAGCTTGCAATGTAAACTGCTATCTTTAAACTTTTTGAGGATAAAGGGGTAGTTTGATTTTTTATTTTTTTGAAATGGGTACCTGTATCTTACAAAGGCAATGAGAGGGTAAGCCTCCCACACAAACCAGGAGAATATTAGATGTGATGGCTAAAGAAACTTTAGACCATGATGAAAGCATTATCAATTTTACTCCTAGAAGTTTCACTAGYTGCGTTTCCATTCACCATGAAAATGTGAAAATTAGAATTTTGAAAATAAATTTACTCACTGGAAACATGTCAATTTCGAAAAAACATCCTTTTTTTCAACAAAATGTTTTTGCACTAGAATGAGGTGGTTTTTTGGCCGTATCGAAATTGGTTTGTTTCGCAAAACTGCAATGGAAACACTTTTCGCATCATGGGAGTCAGGTGATGAACAACTGGATGTTTCTACTGGAGAAAAAGACGACAAAGACAACAGGAAGTAGAAGTAGTAGTGAAATCATCAAAGTTGTAAAAGAAAGTAGTAAACTCACCGACTACAATTTTCCAAAAAACGCTGCATACGTAGCGGCTCCCAAGTATAAGGGGCTTGTCGCTTGAAAGCCTCGATAAAACTTTGATGTCTTCTCTGATGATGATGAGTGCTAGTGCCATGGTRGCAATTATCCATGTGTTTATATCCATTGCCGCCATGTTTGTAATGACTCATCGCGAGAACAAATGTGTGAATTTAATAGCATTTCTTACTTAATGGAAACACCGCAATTACGAAACTGTGTTTTTCGACATTAATAGAATATTGACAAAATTTTGTGCACATTTGCAATGGAAATGCAGCTCTCCTTAAAGCTGCACCAGGGCCACTGCAAAGACATCCTGAGGACCTCACTAAAACAGTCATTCGAATTAGTGACATACTGTTTTAGGTTTTCTTTTTTCTTCTTCTTCCTTTGAAAGAATGTCCCCCTGACAATGCAAACAGCCTGATGTTGAGCATGAATATTATTTTGATTGTTTAGTTAAAAAAGATCATTGTAAGAGGTATCACAATCTAAAACTTATAAAAGAAGATGGATGTAAAATATGAGAAATAAATATRAATTACTTAACATTTTTATGATTGCTCCACAGAGTTTAAAAATAATTTAGGTTTGAATTATTTTAGATGGCTGAAATATACTCTGTTTGGTTGCTAGATTGACCTGGGAGTCAAAATTTCTTTCTGATTCAGCAAACTGAAATTGCTCTGCTGTTGTCTGCTGCAGGTAAGATAGTGACTGATGATTAAAAATGCTAAATAAACTAGCAACAATACTACCCTTTAGGTAAAACATACACATTAACCCTTTATTTAGCTCATGTCTTTGAAAGAATCTCTTCAAGCTAAGCTAAAACTGATCAATAAACCTGGCATCCCCGCAAAGTAGATGTAGAAGTAAATAAAGTAGAAGAAATGTGGGTTGTATTCCTCCCCATGTTCTTTTTCTGATACCTCCCCCTCATCTGAATCAGAGTTGTCATGTTGGTAATTTGAARAAAAATTAGAACCTGTTTAGCAGTGAAACATACACTCATGGCTGCAGCAGAGAGGATTTGGGTACTGTCATYAGAAGTACCTTTACGGCAGATGTGGATCTAGGATTTTTCTGAGTAAGCAGCCATCCAGGTGCCACAATATTTATAGAAAAGGCCAAGTATTTATTCAGCATCCTTGCACACTAATCCTTGGTTTTGGTAAAGTGTATATATTCAACCAGTCACACATTTAAACACTTGTAATTTTAAAAAGCTTGCACATTAATTTATCCTTACCAATTTTACATGCATTTTTACTGTACATAGATAAAATACTCTCAAACACACAGCATGTGAGAAAATCAAGTCATCATTTGTGAGTTGAAAGACTTTTTCTGCAGGATTGTTCAAATTTTAAGAACAGGAAAAAAAACTCGTGTCAGATTGATTCATGTTGGACTTTTCTATTTGGCTCATTAGCGCCTCTAGTGTTTAGAYCTGGAACTGCACCCAGCATCATCACTGTTGGGCAAAGGACAGATGGGTGACAGGACAGGGACACTTCAGGGGGCCAATCAAATTTCAGCAGGGGCCAATGCCTCTGTGGCCCAGCCCCTAAAACCTTTACCTGCTTTACAGGCTCTGAGCAGCCTCAAAGACAATATTGTTACATTTCGATCACGAGAACCTGTCCTTTCCCGCTCTTTTTGTCCTTTGTAGGATGGCAAAAAGGCATTTCTAGAAACCCTCATCTATAGTGTCACCCTCTTGGATACTAAATCCAAGCAGTGTACAGGCAGTGCATTTTGGAGAAGACTATGTCTTGTCACGCTTTTTTCCGCTACTGAAAAATCTTAGATAGAACTAAAGCATTTTCACATCTTTGTGGTGTGTAATTGACTCTGTGATTGTGATATCAATGTAAAATGACTGCCGAGTCAAAATTATATGAAGACAATATTTGTAACTTTTTTTGTACAGCTTATATGGTAATATGAAAAAATAAATAACATTTGACTTTTTCCAATGCTGCGGTCAATCTAGCAAAAGTCATCAAATTTCAAGTTGAAAAAAATGTCATTTAGGTGTTTTTTTTTTCTGCTTTTAAACTCTGTTTCGGGTCAAATTGACCACACAATGACAACAGGAGCATTAAAGAACTTTAAATCCGTTTTATGCTTTGTTTTATAGAATCTATTCCTCTGCCTGTGTGCAACACATATCTCTCCCACCATCTCTACAATTTTCTATTACTATTCACAGACAAGAGCTTTTCGGGATTCTGCTGTGAAAGGGCTCTCTGCGCCACTCTACGTAGACTTTTATAATGCACCCTGTGTGCGTGCAAGGCCATATGTGTGTGTATGTGTGTGTTTAGATCAGTGTTCTAGTGAAAAAATGCTTTATTTTTATATTTTTGTCTCCCTCGGGAGACGGACGCTCTAATCTGGGTTGAAGTGGGACAGGAGAGGGGAGCAGAGAGGAACACGTAGACACACATTCTCATGAGTACTGAATAAAAAATAAAATAAAAAATCAGCACCCACTGAGGTTGGAGAATATGTCACAAGTCATAGACCAGCTGCAGCCTGGAGGAAAGGAGAACAAAGCCATGAGGAGTCCAGCTACACGTTTTTTCTTTGACGCTTCCATTGGCTTGAATGTGGCTCATCCCAAAACATACTACAGGGAGTTTTCACAGGCCAGCACAAGTGTGTGACTATGTGCATAAGTGTTTGTGTTGCCTCCTCAGAGACAGGGCGTGAGAACCACAGCGGCCTAATTCTTCCTGACGTGATCCATCTGCTCATATCTAATGGACAGAGTAACAACACACACGCCGACACAAGCCTCCACTTCTTATTTAATTAATAGAATCGAGCCGCCCCACATGTCAGCCCGTAATGCAATTACTGTTACACACTGGAGCCGAAAACATGGATGGACCCCTGCAGTAACATACAACACACTCATAAAGACACGTGCGTATTCCCTCAGATACACAAGCGTAATCCAATGGCTGCACTCGCGAGCACACATCAGATCAGGCGCTCGACCACATATAGCCATACTCTAGGGGTGTGAGATGAAGCAGATAAATGAAGATAATTAATTTCCTGGATTAAGAACGTCTCCATCTGAGCATCCCCGCGGCCGGAGAGTAGTCAGAAGGAAAACAACAGGGGCAAGTTGGAGAAAAAGTGGATGACGGAGGACGAAGAGGGTGATAGCGCTGACTTTGACAGGCCTGCTGTAGGCTGTTCCCAAGACTCCAAACATCCTCATTAACCAGCAGCCAGCCTACACACTTAACACGTGTGCTTGTGTGTGTGTGTGTGTGTGTGTGTGTGTGTGTGTGTGTGTGTGTGTGTGTG